CTGACAATGATAACCTGTTTATGACTCTATTTGTGATCGATGTTTATCATATAAATTGGTGCGTATCGCCGTATATCAGTGTTTACAAGGGTATGACACGTATCGCTGAGTAGCTGTGAGATAGCTGACATTTGAGAACGCACGTGAAATAGATAGTGCTATAACAGCAATCACGACTACATTTCTACTTCAGACCGCCTCCGTGGTCTAGTGGTAGAGCGTCCGCCCGGAGAGCGGAAGGTCCGGGGTTCGATCCCCGACCGCGTCATACCAAAACACGTTAAAAGATGGTACTTGTTGTTACCCTGTCTGGCGCTCGGCATTAAGGGGCTAAAACAAGGACTGGTCGGCTCGGAGTCAGTATACTGTGTCTGAGTTGGGTATTCATATTAAACTGCAGCATGGTATCTTAGTGAGCACTGCGGCATGGTATCTCAGTGAGCTAGCACTATAATTCGGCATCAGTCCGGACTAGTATAAGCAGCCACACAAACACACACACGTACATGCACGTAGTTATATAAGTGCAATAATCTTGGACGCGACGTTAAACCCCATTTCACCTCACCTCACCTTTCTACTTCAAGTGTTTCAGTATAATGTGTATCGACCTTGTGCTTGTGTATATATGAATGTGGGTGCAGCGACAAACATGATCACAGGTTTTTGATAAGAAAGACGACTACTGATTTCAGAGATATTTAGTGAGTATGGTTTTAGCCGCTTTAAGCAATAATCCAGCTTAATAACGACGGGAAGTCTAAATGAAATTATTCACTGTTCACGTTGAGACTCGAACCTTGATCTGCGGCGTGGCGATCGAATGCTTTAACCATAAGGGCAACTTACCTTTCTCTAGTTTTTTCCCTTGAATCCGGCTTCACCAAAAGGATTTTACACAATCTTTCTCTCTTTTCAAGGATACGCAACAATTATTATATTTGGGATAACACTTTCTTAGTAAAGTACAGATTCTAGTTATTTGTTTGGTTGAGTCCCATCAGGGATTCGCACCCACACTGCCAGAGTGAGGCACCTTATCGCCAGCACACAAAGTCAGCGATCTAACCCACTCAGCCACCGAGGATTCCACGGGACACACCGATAAAAATAGAAAGTTGAAGTGGATCCTGAGTAGGAGCAATGTATCTGAAGGGATTGTATCATTACGCGTCGTTGTCTAGATTACTGCACCATTCGTGACCAACTCGTGTTATTCCGGGACAAGCCGAATAGCGACTCGTGACCCTCTCGTGGCCATTTTTGCGACCGAGTTCCGTCTTAGCGCAAACGGGCATACCTAAAACAATTGTCAACTCGTTGCGTAATGGTTCACATATATTTCCCCTTGGGCGGATACAGGGGGTGGGTGGGGGGGGGGGGGGGGGGGGGGGGGGGGGTGTGTTTGCTGAAGACCTATTTTACCCCGGATCTTCACGGGCGCACGGAAATGATTATATATAAACAATAAACGCATTCTTTAAAGCGACTACTGTTAAAAAAAGTGACAAAATAGCAGGAAATTCCAAATAACGTACATTGAAATGAGTTGGCTCACTGACACAGATTGTACAGGTTCCAAGTATTGTAACACAAGTTCGGGCAATACGATGAAAGTAAATTTAATGCTGTAGTGGACATTTCACTACGTGGATGTGCAGTGATTGCTTGCAAATGGAAATTTCCAGTTAATTATCATGTTTCCCCCCGTCAGTCGATGAAAGAAACATGATTTTTCACGAGACACATGGAATATCATATGTATTGTATACTTATTGTGTAGTTGTCTACTGGAAACTTATTTCATTACAAATGTAAAACCTTGAAACGTAAATACTCCTTACCTAACACACAGGACGTTTCACCACCCATGGTATTTGCGACTTACAAGGCAGTTCCGTGTTTGTAAAATCTTAAAAAATATAAACAAAGGTTACAAAAAATATTTAGGGTCACGAAAATTCTTTATCAGACATTTATATATGATTATATACAACTTCAACAAAATATATTCGTGAAATCTACGAGACCGCTGTCGGAAGCGAAAGAATACAGGCTGGTCAAGTAACAAATATGGCAGCTTGCGAAACGAACGATCCCGATTGACGAGTTAAATGAGACATTTTCAAGAGAATAACAAACGGCAAGAACCGACAGTAACATAATAGACCATGTGTAATTGATTTGCCTTGTCAGTGTGGAACAAACGTCAAAAAGAACTCAACAGTTTGTGTTCGGGCCAGACACTTACGATAAAGGGAGACAAGTTGCGGGAAGGTAACTCTTGTATGGCAATAGTTCGTCAAGGTGGTACGTTCATTGCAGTGAAATATCAAGTGTTATGTTCACTGCAGTTACATATCAAGTGTTATGTTCACTGCAATAAAAATATTACTTTTTTCTTCAACTTCAGAAAACTCAGTCTTTCACACTGAAACATATGACAAATTGGCATCTTCATCATGATAACCGGATGTAGGACATTTCAAAAGAAGACGAAATCTCGCTACGCGAGATTTCCGAGTATAAATGATGATACATACAGAAAGAACACGCAGGGACCGGAACGTGACTTCGAGACAACCGGGAATTCGACACATCCAAGTTCGACACAACGAGATTCAACTGTATATAGAAATCGTTTTGCTTCGTCAGTTGTCCGTACGAGACCAAACAGCTCGGTTTATTCAAATATTAGTTTCGCTTCTTAGGCGTGCCAAAAACCTATGATTGTAGGTTCGAATCCCCGTTCACCCACACTGTTTCCGGGTTTGTCAGCACCATTCCTTTGCTCGTGGGTTTCACCAAAGTGATGAGACCTGCACCAATTCGCGCTTTGCTCCCACAGGTTTTTGCCTAAGACACGATTTGAAATTACTGAAATACTGTTTATTGCGGCGTTAAACACTCAGTCTTAGTTGACTCCTGGGGGGCACGGGTGGCCCAGTCGTCTAAGGCGCCGCGATTCGCTGTGCAGAGTTGCGTCCCTTGGGCACGCCAGAAACCTATGATTGTGGGTTCGAATCCCGGTTCGCCCCGATCATGTTTCTAGGTTTGTCAGCACCATACCCGTGCTCGTGGGTTTCACCGAAGTGGTAAACGTCTGATACCTGCATCACTTCGGGCTTTCCTCCCACATTAAGCTGACACGCCGTGATATAACTGGAATACTGTTAAAAGCGGCGTTAAACCAAACTCACTCACTCACTCACTAGTTGACTCCTGCAACCTCTATCAAATACGAAATACATAACAATTATATTCAACTGTTTATGCTTTTGTGTGTGACATGGTATACATATGTCACCTCGTGCAGGAGATAGTGTCCGTGATTGTCACTACTGGCATAGTAAGTATATATTCAAAGTTTAATTGTCACTGGTTAATATTATATGTGATATGTCGGTTATCTGTGTCTCCCTGAAGGTCGAGGTCGACCAGACTGTCTGTGTCTGAGTGAAACAATGATGAACGGCAAAGTGTCACTGTTACACCCAGCCAGCATGTGTATGGTGCAGACTAACCAAGGATCATAACTCGTATCCACGATCACCGGATCCTGGCACAGTTAAGGGGCGCAATGTAGTATTGTGAATGGATGATGCGTCTTAGGTCACTGGGCCAAGCGTGACCCCTCGGTAATTGCTTAGTGAGTGAGTGAGTGTGTGAGGGGGAAACAACAGGAACACAATTTCCTTCATGTTTACACATGATATATATGAAGTCGAACTGGAGTCACTCATACCGAGCGATCGCGTGTACTACTGGGCTACCTTGCCATTCCTCAGTGTAAAATGAACTGCATTTCTTTTTTTCATTTTATATCTACGTCAGCTAAAAGGTAGTTTTTATGTGCACTAATATCTGTAAAATGATTAAAACGATGAAAAGGAAATTACCGTTAAACCCACTTTATTGTGGACCCGTGAAGATCCGAGTTAGAATAGGTCTTCAGCAACCCAGGCTTGCCGTAAAAGGCGACTATGCTTGTCGTAAGAGGCGACTAACGGTATCGGGAGGTCAGACTCGCTGACTTGGTTGATAAATGTCATCGTATCCCAATTGCGAGGATCGATGCTTATGGTATCAATCACTGGACCATCTGGTCCAGACTCGATTATTTACAGACCGCCGTCATATAGCTGGAATATTGATGAGTGCGGCGTAAAACAACAGACAAACAGACAAACTTTATTGTGGTTCCTGGTTAAATGTTTATTTGGAATGCAGACATGTATATATGTGTTTTGAATATGGATGCCTTCGCAGAACCCTTTTTGAGTTTTTGTGTCATTTTGAAGATACCCAGCATCCATGTTCCTATACACTGAATGTCATTGGGGATTGATGGCCTGTGATGCTATAATACAACGCAGTACCCATACTGAGCCATGCTGAAACGGGCATTAGATTTAGATGGCCACGGGTGGCCCAGTTGTTGATCGTGTGATTAAGATCCTTGGTTTTCCAGCACTTACTGACCGCCTCCGTGGCCTAGTCGATAGAGCGTCTGCCTGGAGAGTGGAAGGTCGATGTTCCTATCCCCGGCTGCGTCATACCAAAAGACGTTAAAAGATGGTACTTGTTGTTACCCTGTCTGGCGCTCGGGATTAAGGGGCTAAAACAAGGACTGGTCTGCTCGGAGTCCGTATACTGAGTCTGAGTGGGGTATTTATGTTAAACTGCGGCATCTCAGTGAGCTGGCACTATAAAACTGGCATTTGTCGGTCACACGTGAAACTTGGAAGCTGTGCTATGACTGAAATGATATTCAAAGTAGCGTTAAACCTGGACTAGAAGTCTGTGCTTTAAATATGAATTTTAAAAGTAATTCAAAATACGACATAAACATATACGGTGTCTGTCTGTTAGCTACATGTGCACGTGGCAGATAGATGCTTCGAGGGTATGTGAAGTTCAGAGGTCAAGACTTAACGCCAAATACAGCCGCCAATGAGCGTCCAGATGATGCAACGGAAAGGCGGGGCAGAGATAGAAGGAGTACTGACAGTATGTTATTGCTGACTGGGATAGACACAGCACAGACCAGAGCTAGTTCGGCAGCAGAAAGGTTGTAAGAAGTCACAGCGTGACCACAAAGCAGCACAATCTGGAAACATAAGGGGAACCAGTTGACCAGCATACACCGATAAGGTAGTGATTGGTGAGTGAGTGAATATGGTTTTACGCCGCTTTTAGCAATATTCCAGCAATATCACGGCGGGGGACACCAGAAATGGGCTTCACACATTGTACCCATGTCGGGAATCGAACCCGGGTCTTCAGCGTGACGAGCGAACGCTTTAGCCACGAGGCTACCCGACCGCCCCAGGTAGTGATTGAATGAGTTTGGGTATTACAGTTTTTTTCAAGGCGTTTCAACTTTGTGTCGGAGGAAAAGGTGGCAACAGTGGTCTAATGCATCACGAGCCGCTGATAATTTCTTTTGTTGTCAACGCAATTATTTTTTTCAAGTATTTTCGGTGACAATATATTCTTGTCGATAAAAATGATTGGGTGGTTAGTTTTTCTGTCGTATTGGTTGTGTGTCATTGAACGTCGACGGGTGGATCGTTGTTAATAAAATTAGTCACTGGATTGTCTGGTCCAGACTCGATTATTGACAGGCCGATGCCATATGCATATAGCTCGAATAACATAGGTTGTGTGGGGTCTAGTTTAAGGGAACGTAACAATTTATGGGAACTGTTATAAATGTATTTGATTTGATTGTAGATTTCCTGTCTTCATCTCCACTGACCTCTCCACGATGACCTCCGAATACCCCGTGGTTGTGACGGGAGGATCTGGTTGCTTGGGGCAACACCTCATCAAACTTCTCCAAACGAACGCTGATCACGTGACTGAGATCCGGGTACTTGACGCCATTCCGTACGAGAACAAACTTGGTGAGTTATGAAGTCATTGCATATCAAGGAACATAAATTGCCGGGCCAAAGAATGTTTAAACTTTAAATTTGATTTGACCCCCCTCCCACCCCAAAAGTAATTTTTTTTAAATATAGTAAAAAAAAAAGAAAAAAAAGAAAGAAATAGGAATTAAGTTAAATAAATCACGGCTGAAAACTGTCGCCGAAACCATGCAAACTAAAGGTCCAAAACACAACTATGATACCCGTAGTAAATACATCTTAATCGAATAACCATTTCTTGTTTGTGAGGGGCGGTCGGGTAGCCTAGTGGTTAAAGCGTTTGCTCGTCACGCCGAAGACCAGGGTTCGATTCCAGACATGGGTACAATGTGTGAAGCCCATTTTCTGGTGTACCCCGCCGTGATATTGCTGGAATATTGCTAAAAGCGGCGTAAAACCATACTCACTCACTCACTCTTGTTTGTGTCATTTGCATATCAACTCGGCAAGCCTCGGAGTTTTAAACATTTATCGACACGTGTTGATTAACTTGATATCAAGACAAGGGGGTGAGATTCTATTTATAATGCGAAATCATCCTTCCAACATTTCAGTTTGTAAATAGTAATAACCAGTGTCTTGAGTGAAAAAGGTACAGCTAACCAGCTTGGGTGGCAGAGAGATTAGTGTTTTCTTACACACCTGTGGGTAAGAAACCCATTTGAGATAACTGGTATCAAACATATGGGTGAGATCGAATTCCAGGCCCGTGATTGGCTACTCCATGGTGATGACCTGAGGTCAGATGATGACGGACTACTTTTCTGATTATAAGTCATTGATAAGTTGCTCGTGCTTCAGTCGAATGTTCACCTACGCCTTGTTGAACCACAGGACCATGTAATAATTGATAATAATAATTATAAACAAACTCGTACCCGTCTGCGAGGTTGTTTGTTATCATTATCAGTTACATTATCTGCTGTTATGTCAACGTTATCATTTTTTAGAGTGTAATGCACCCCCTGGATGCCACGGCGACACATATGTCCATCCTCTTCAGCCCTCACTTCGAAGTCGAATAAAATTCAAAATACATCACGCAAACTAATTCACTCCGCAGTTTTGAATTCACTCCTCTGTTTATCATTTGCTGTCATTTTAGGCAAAGCAAAATTACTGAAAGTGACTTCTGAAAATTAGGTACATTGTAAATCTAGCCAAATCATAATTCACGGCGTTATTTACTGTGTGTTTAGAAATCTAAATATTTGATATTTACTCGAATAATTAAAGTAGAAAAATAGCATATTAGTGATCACGGGTATCAAATCACTGATGATAATTCTGAAACGTCGCTGATGTTTTGGAAAAAACGCATTCACGAACGCCGAGGTGTACGTTCCGCCATATTGTGTTTACAAAATGCCGGTTATGAGAAGCCTATTCGATCAGGTATATTTCAAACTCAGATGCTATTCATGCATCCCTGAATTCCTCATATATTTTATAAACAAATGACAAATTTGTCACCAATGCAAATTATCCAGATGAAATCATGCGAAATAAATTAGGTGTTGAAACTAACACTGTGCTCGGGAAACTGTAGATCTACTTGCTGAAATGTAAACAAAGCAAAATATTCAGATTTTACACTGTGTTGCATGTTTAGAGGTACTTTCGTCTAATTGTTGCATGCATTGGCTCGATCACGCGTTTGAGAATATTCATGGGAAGAGTATCGTTGCACTAATAATGGAATTCCAAGTATAAACATTACAATGATGCGGTAAATTCAATAGAAACCGTACAAGTGTGACGCCATGACTGACGCTATATCGCGCACAACGACGACAGCATTTCTGACTAATTCACTTTGTTACATTGGAAAAAAATGTTAAACAAATAACAGTACGCAGATTGTCAGAATGTTTCTGATTACTTACGTACACATTTATGTATATACGATCCCTCAATCAACGAAAATCCTCCCCTGGAAATCCGGCTTACTGTTGTCAGTGTACACGCCATTTTGCAAAAGTCGGTCACCGGTAGTGATGTCATATGGAAGTAAATATTGTTGTACATATTTGGTAATTTCTTTTATTACCCACGCGGTGAAGATACAGGTGGTAAGATACTAAATCCGTACGTCACACGTGTGTCGTACAAAGTTGACCTTGTTTTATTCGTTTTGATTGGATAACCGTGACCTCTGTCACACCGGGACTACTTTTTTCATTCATAAAAATCGCGAGACGTCTTTCATTTTGCAACTACAAGGCAGAACTGAAGCAATCTCATGGGATCGAGGGATATTAACAAACACTTTATTAAACCAAACAAGAAGGTCACACGCATCAAATTCGGTTTGCATCCTATATAAGTAATGCATTGAGCTTCCACAGACATTATATAATCGAGCTATATCCATTTACAATGTTTGACTACCGTTCAAATAGATCGAGGGTCCCAATGAGCGTGACGCACCCAACTACTTTTGCAACTTCCAATTTGATTTAACGTAAAAGGATAAGCGTGGTGAAATGAAGTCAGTTTAAGCTATCTGGACAGATATCTGGACTTACTTAGGATGATCCGGTTGTACCATCACTGTCCTCTTCGAAGCGTATTTTGTGGCACTGTTTCGGGAGTTGTTTGTTCACGACTGCACAACCAGATCACTCAAAGTGAACATTTCTGATACAAATCATTCGAAAACTCCGTAGAAGTGTGCCTGATTTCTGATTATGTGGTCCAAAATATCCCAAATGTGAACAATAACATTCCCTATCTCTAGCGTAAAACGCTGAGTAGATCACGGTTGTCTTTTCTTATTCCTGTGGTGGCCTTGCCCTTCGTTCGAAGCTATTACTGACATGCAAGCAGACTTGAGCGTGTTGATTTTCACGTCTTCAGTAAAGGGTGGTACAGTAAACATAAATGTCTTTGGCGAACACTCTGATTTCCCTCTTCCAAAATGGTACGGACATTATATAAATTCACCTGAAAGATCAAGGAAGCCGAACCATCTTGAATGCACAGACAGGACCCCGGCAGTGCGAGTGACCGACTGTTGGTCCGATATTCAAAGCGCGGCGCTAATGTGACTTTTCAAATTTTCTTATAGGTGTCCTGCGTACTAACAACATGGCGCTTGAATTCTCATAAGTTGCAGAAATTCTTCCAAAAGGATCTTGAGCGTCGGTGCTGTTATGTTTGCAAACACAACTGCAGGCGCATGTTGTAAATGCGTATGCATAGGAATGTAAACAATGCCCATATTTGGGCATGTATCAATATTCATGCCCAACCAGAATTTGCAACCGGTTTCAGTTTGGTCTGTCAACGAACAAAAGCTGTTATGTATTTACACTTACATACATATTTAACGTGGGTAATAGATAAAATACCACACTCATTCTCGTTAGATACCATTTTTACGTAACTCGTGAACTTTCCGTGGTATCTGTCAGATACCATAGAAAGTCCACTCGTTTCGTAAAAATGGTATCTAACGAGAATGAGTGTAGTATTCTCTATTGAGGCGTAAACTTTTAACTCGGCATCCAGCGTGTTCTTTGTTTTTGTCTTGTTTGCATTATCATCATCGCCTTGATAATACACAGACATGGTGGAAACCTTTTTGTGTAGGGTCACATTATTTATGAGTAGTAAGCAGTACATGGAACGACGTCACTTATGACAATGGTGTTATGTATTAATGCGCCACTGCGATCGTGAGAATATACAAAATGCATCGATCCGATGCTAAAAAGGTGCGATTTTAGGGTGTGTAAGAAACAGATTACTGTACTCGTGCCTGTCAGATACCATTGATCTTATAACTCGTTGTTACAAAGCGTATCTAACCCGCTCTCGCTCGTTAGATACGTTTTGAAACAACTCAGATCTGGCCTGTCAGATACGATTGATCTTACAACTCGTTGTTACAAAGCGTATCTAACTCGCTTTCGCTCGTTAGATACGTTTTGAAGCAGCTCGTTGTAAGATCAATGGTATCAGGGTTGCGTTGCAAAGCGCCAATCGCTTGTAAGCGATGTACAGCGATTCGCCTTACAACAGTGTGCTAACTTTCAGCCGCTTGCAAGCGAAACAATCGCTGACTGAGGGTCGCTTCGTTCTCAAACCAAAATGGCGGCTTACTTTGACAGCTTAACAAGGAATTCTTGACTGGATCAACGAGAAAATGAGCAAAGGCAGCTAACACACCATCATCCTCAGTCTGCTCCACATCTTCAAAGTAGTCATAAATTTCATCAGCTCGTCATCGAGCCTCTTCTATTACGTTCTTCATTACGCGGATGGTCAGGCTCGCTGACTTGGTTGATGCATGTCATCGTATCCCAATTACGTGGATAGATGCACATGATGTCAATCACTGGATTGTCTGGTCCAGACTCGATTATTTACAAACCGCCGTCATATAGCTGGAAGATTGCTGAGTGCGGCGTTAAACAACAAACAAACAAACGTCAAGGCAACCAACCGGTAGTTGCGCCGCCATTTTGGAAGAGTGCGCAAGCGCTTCGAACTGTTGCAGACCCCGGGTTCAGCGATGAATTTGCTTTCTCTAAGCGATTCGTGGTTTGCAACGCGCCCCTGATAGACACTCGTGTAGTAATCTCTATGTCATTTCATTGTGACGCCATGGTAACCGATGACGTCGCAATGATCAGCTCGTCATTGTGATGCAATTTCACTGTAGCGATAGTTTTGGATGATAAATAGAGAATATTTCTCAGAAGGGTAAAATGGTCGTGTGTAATAACTTCCCGATATTTGCACATGTGCATTTTAGCGATTCTCAATGCTCTTTGAGAAAACTAGTAGGTTCAGAACTAAATTGTGAAATCAGTAAAACACCACACAAGATCATTGAAAAATTAACATGCAGTAAACTACGGTTATAATGAACTAAAAGGGACCACTGATTTTAGATAGTTCGTTATGAGCACATATATATATATACTACTCAAAAGAAGTTAAGAATCACCTGATTCTTTGGTATTACAATAGTTAATCTCTCATGCCATGACAGATTAACATAACCAATATGAAAGAATCGGGTGATCCTTAACTTCTTTTGAGTAGTATATATATAAAGCCAACATACAGCAAATGGACGTGATCAAAACACATTTCGTTATATCCGTCAGTTCGCTATAAGCGTGTTCGTTATAAACGTAGTAAACTGTATATTGAAACGCACAGGCTTAGGTTTACACTCATAAAAGCGAATACAGTTGTTCAAAATATGTGGCCATTTTATAATGGGTCCTAATCTAAACGTCAACTGACGAACGTCTAGTATTTGTCACAGTCGAATAAGGCTATGTGCTCGGGCCTTGAATCTACGTAACAGTGTTGGAAGCAGGCAACGAGTCGGTGTTTTCCGCTAGGTATCCCGTTCGCACTGGGCAAGTGGAAAACCCGCACGTTAAAATCGTTGAAGAAGGCCTCGAATCGCGAGCCTTCAAGAAACGACTTAAACCAAATAGTCGAACACAGTGTCGATGACTGTAAACATGCCTGACAAAATACTCCTCACAGCGGAGTCCTCTTTGCCGGGTGGGTAACGAATATGTGAAGCGCTGGTATGGAGTTTGGACTGTAAACACTATGGGATGACTGAGTTTGGAATGTGAGCACTAAGGGAGGTCACTCTAGCTGCAGGGGTAGTCACCCGAACACTTGATATTTTACGAGCGCCATATTTACAAACGCTTCAACGCTACAACTCGCCTGGTCAGCCAAGGGTCATTTCAGTCAAGGAGTGCTCGGTCTATCGGCCCTTACTCTGAACTGTTTCCATAAGCATGCATGTGCCGCCCCTTACAATAAAAATCGCAACACAAGGTTTATTAGCTCACTATGTCCGTCGTCCGTCTGTCCGTCCGTCCGTGCGTCCGTCCGTCAACAATTTATTCAAACGACTTCTTCTTCTGAACCTCCGGTTATGAGGATTCAAAATTTTACAAATGGAGGGGCTGGGGGGCGGGGCCAAATGGGGGTCATTTGGCTATATTGCTTTAAACGGCTTCTTCTCTGGAACTAAGAGATAAATATCAACCATATGTGGTTGGAAGCATCCCTAAGTGGTGGGGATTCAAAATTGTACAAATGGTGGGGCTGACCCCCAAGGGGACTGAGGGGCAGAGCCAAATAGGAGTAATTTGGCTATATTGCTTTAAACGGCTTCTTCTCTGGAACTAAGAGATAGATATCAACCATATATTGTTTGAAGCATTATCCGGTGGTGAGGATTCAACATTGTACAAACGGAAGGGCTGATCACACCCAAGGGGCTGAGGGACGGGACGAAATAGGGGTTATCTTAACCTTATAACAGTAATCGCAGCTAGTGACAGACATAATTCCTAATGCCACCAATCCCGCCTCGGACAACTTTGTGACTGCTGTGGTACCAGAACAGTTGATTGTGTGTATTCCTCACCCCTCCCATCTTTCTGTGACCGAGAAGAGGTATCGCCCTCTCTCGATGGCTGTCATGAGTCGAAGTCAGTCAGAATACGTGTCTGGATTGGGGTACTTTGATCAATAAAAACCCACTATTTTTTCATTTAATTCAGACTATTTGCTTTATTTAAAAAAAATGAAAAATGAAGATTGTCAGTTCCACAAGTAAGAATATACGAAGAATAGAACTATTTATGGCATAAACTGGTGGACCATGTAGACTGCGACATTGATCTGAGACTCTTCTTGGCTTCCCTAAACTACAACGTCTGGACCAGACAAACCAGTGATTTATATTGTGAGCAATGATCCACGCAATCATAGTACAATGGAATACTATGAACCTAGTCACCGAGTCTAAACACCTGATTCATGTAATCGCCTCTTACGATGTGTATATTATCCTGGAGTCCATCCAACTCCGAATCCCAACAGGGTTTGAATATTACAATGACCATACTATGTTGAAATCCTTCTAAGTATCTCTTGGATATGTTCAATATGCCATTCGTCACCATCGCGTGTCAGGCAACAGACAGACCGGCGAATGTTGCCTGAAGAGAGGTACCATTCGTGACCAATTGATGCAATTTAAAGCACATCTGGACATGCGGAATTATACAGAATGATTGAACACATTTAACTGTGTTTTCTGGTATATTTTTAGATGCAAGAAAGATGTAAAAACAAAAAAAATATTTCTGACGGATTCTTTGATGAACGACTTGAAATCATACGCGATTGGTTTGTCGTATTTTCGCACATAACATGCATCCTTAGGGGGACGAGTCTTCTTGCAGGTTACGGAACGAGGCGAGTGGTGACGAATGGAGAGGCACATGCTTACCCTTTTCGCGAACATCTGGTGTCATCACTGATATTTAGTGATCTATTCATATAATCTTCACCGCTATTTTGCCTTTTACGCCCACTGGATTCTCTTTCGTCGGATAATCAAGACTAGATATTGTCTGGCTTTGACGGTTTATATTTAATTATAGTATTGCAAGGAACACATAGTATTTGTGTTTAGTGTTTGTTGACGCTCTCAATAAAAAGACAAACTAAGTCGTGAAATATAAGTTTCAAATTGCCACTACAAGCAGGGTAAAGACAATATCTTGATTGCTATTCATAACTGAATAATTCTAAAAAATGAAATGTTGAAAATATAATAATTTCATACTTTAAGGTTTACACTGTTTCTTTCATGCTGATTGGCTGAATAGGTAGTCACGTGATCTGATATTTGGAGTTCACACTCCTGTGGACGGATTGAAAAGTTCACACGATGTGAACAATTTTTTGTTAAATTGATCGTGTGAACTTTTTCCGGAACTACTTTCCGGGGTTTCCCCGAATTCTCGATCGATGTTTACAATCAACTCGTTTTCGTATTTACTTTTTAATCCCTGCATTTATCAGGAATATAATTAATTAAGTGATTTTGCCTTGTCTCGTAACATTTCATCTGACTTAAAAATAAATAAATGCTTTGTTTCTTGTGTTTAATGTCTAGCTGCTAGATGAAACAAAATGGATTGTCCTTAGGGTGATGTGGATATGGAATGGCGATCTTTCAATACTAATAACGCACGTGAAGAAAATGAATTCTGTAAAATTACTGAGGTGAACGAAATTGATTTATTGAGCGAGCTCGGAGGTTCACACAGTTTAACCAGCGCTTTAAAATCGTTCGAACTTCAATGAACCCATCCAAACTGACGTTCAATTCTTAATTAAACGCCAACCACCTTCGTACTGTATTTTTTTCATATTATTTTCAAATCTAATTTAAAGAATAACAATTTGCAAGCGAAATATTAGAATTCATGATCTGACATGTTAAATATACTTTTTTAGCAAAATGTATATTAATATATCACAGAGGTTCAATACTTCTACAACAAGAATAAGTGAGCGCTGCAGCGGCGTCTACATATTACAGTAACTATAAGAATGAAATAAGAGTTATCGTTCTTGTCCAAGGGGCCACGAGTCTCCATTTGGCTTGTCCCGGAATTCACGGGTTTGTCACGAATTTTTAAGACTGTTTTCACATATGGACTGCTGAGAACACCATAATCATCATTTATTATTATTATTATTATGATGATGATGCACAGGTCATAAAGAGACAAAGCCCGTGATTTCCAAGTGTGGTGACATCACTAACTCAGACATACTTCGCCGGGCGTTCAGGGGAGCTAAGTCAGTCTTCCATCTGGCCAGTCTCGTCAGTGTGGGCAATTTCCCTGACAACCAGGCTATGGAGAGAATCAACGTCAAAGGTGAGACAACAGACACAGACGGACTAACAGACAAACATGTCGTTCACACACTGACAAACATCTCTCCAACGCACATGCCAAAACATACAATGTGTGACATATTTTTGTTGTACTGGAACAATGTGTGACAGATCATTGTAGCACAGGAACAATGTGTGACAGATCATTGTAGCACAGGAACAATGTGTGACAGATCACTGTAGCACAGGAACAATGTGTGACATATCTATGGTGTAGAGGAACAATGTGTGGCATATCTATTATGTGTAGTAACAATGCGTGACATATCTATGTTGTACAGGAACAATGTGTGACACATCTATGTTGTACAGGAACAATGTGTGACACATCTATGTTGTACAGGAACAATGTGTGACACATCTATGTTGTACAGGAACAATGTGTGACACATCTGTGTTGTACAGGAACAATGTGTGCCGTATCTATGTTATTATGTGTAGTAACAATGTGTGTACATATTTGTGTTGTACAGGACCAATGTTTGACATATATATGTCATACAGGAACGACGTTTGACACTTCTATGTTTTACAGGAACTCGACAGGTGATAGACGCCTGCATCAAGGAGGGGGTGGAATGCCTCATCTACTGCAGCTCCGTTGAGGTTGTGCTGGGGTACGACGACATTGTCGATGGCACCGAGGACAACATGAAGGCACCCAAGACGTATTTCCACGAGGGTTATGCCAAGACCAAGCTCCAGGCAGAGAGTATGGTACTGCAGGAAAACAACTGCCAGTTGGACACAGGTACATATCTATGTTGTACAGGATCGTTACTGTCCTTGTTAAAGCAGAACATGTAAACATTATATCTTCATTAGAATAGGGTGTCCATTGAGGTAACCATTGCGAAAAAAAATAATTCAAACTCCTTTTGATTACATCTAAGATATATGTTTTGGTTTTATGTTTGGTTAACCTTTGCGGACCCATCTTCGAAAAAACATATAGACTGTGTCCCCCGAAACTAAGATTACGCTAATCTTGAAATGTGTTTTCACTGGGAACGGTGCTGTCCAAAGTAGAGGCGTTTTCCCCAGAACCAATCAGCTGCTCTATATTGCTGTCCATGGTCTATCCAGGTGGCGTACTCAAGACGGCCGCCCTTCGACCCTACGTCTTCTACGGCGAGTTGGACCGCCATTACGTCACGCAGCTCTTCAAATTGGTTAAGAAGACTGCGGGTATTCTCATCCAGACAGGTAACGGCAAGGCACTCCATCAGCACGCCTACGTCGGTAACAACGCCTGGGCCTTCATCTGCGCCGAGAAGGCTGTCCGTACCAACCCTGCTGCTGCTGGTGAGGCTTACTTCATCACAGACGACACCCCAGTTAGCGATATGTACAGTCAGATGATCCCCTTTCTGGCGGAGAAGGGTATGCGCCTATCCCCCATCAGGTTCCCTTTCTGGCTTATGTTCATGGTTATGTACTTGGCGGAGTGTCTGGTGGTTCTCTTGTCCCCCGTTATCAAAATCGACATCGGCGTCACGTCCAGCGCCCTACGTTTCGTCAACACCACCATCAAACTGAGCAACGTCAAAGCGCGCACCTTGCTCAACTACACTCCCCTGTTCTCTGTGGAGGAGAGCCTCCGCAACGCTCGTGCTTATTACAGGGACGTTCCAATATAGACACGTCAGTCCATATAGACACGAACATCTCCGGACATGAGATCATGTATACTGCAACCTTCAATGCAATATTCTGATGTAAACATCGTGCAATGTTTCAATGCAATACCTTGATGATAAATCATTCCTTGCAAGAATCGATTTTATTGTCCATCTATCTTTTCTTGTAACATGCAACATGTTAATACAATTTTTATGTGTTTAAAATGCAGTTTTCTATGCATATTTTAGAAGAAACCGTTTCTCAGTGAATATCAATGCAATGCTTTCAAACATTTTTGTTCATGCAAGGTTTCTATGCATCGTTTATCATTATAATTATTTAATGTATTTTATCAATGCAACATGTCAATGCAAGCTTTTCATGTATTATTATGTTTATGTTGATATGCAGCGCATGTCACCAATGCAACTTTGTGAATCTTAATATTTATGCAGCTATGCATGCAGAACCTTGGCGCCTTGTAAATGTAATATTCCAATGCAACATTTCAAACAATTCTTTGTCAGTGTAAAACTTCAATGAAACATTTAAAGCATGTTATCAAATAATTTTTGCCAAAGGCAGATTTTCAATATCATTTTATCATAGAATCTTTGTCGACATAACATTGCTATGCAACATATTTAAAGCATGTTGTCAAGCAATCTTTGTCAAAGTAATATTTCAGTGCAATGTTCCAAAGCATCTGATCAAGCATATTATATTCTTTGCGAACTATCAATGCAATTCTGTTCATGCAATGTTTAAATGATGTAACAATGCCTCGTTTATCATTGTAACTATATATCTAATATCTAATATACTTTATCAATGCAACATGTCAGTGCAAGTTTTACAAGTACATGTTTATGCTGATATGCACGCATATCACCAATGCGACTTCGTTTATCTTATTATCTTTATACAGCTCCATGTATACACGCCGGTCCTCGCCGATACAGTTCACAAATAATGTTATTAATGCAAAATGTCGAAATACGTTTCGATGAAGATATTGCAATACAGTATGTTTCAGCATGTAACTAAAGAATCTTTGCTAATGTAACATTTCAGTGCAACAGTTAAAGAATGTTATCAAGCCATCTTTTTCAATGTAACATTTCAGTGCAATGTTCCACTGCATCTGATCAAGCATCTTATATTCTTTGTGAACTGTCAATGCAATTCTGTTCATGCAAAGTTTAAATGCATGTTAAAATGCCTCGTTTATCATTGTAACCATCTAATGTATTTTATTAATGCAACATGTCAATGCAAGTTTTACATGTACATGTTTAGGTCGATTTGCACGCATCTCACCAATGCAACTTTGTTTATTTTATTATCTTTATACAGCTCCATATATACACGCCGGTCCTCGCCGATAAGTTCACAAATAATGTTATTAAGTCGAAATACATTTCGAAAAACATATTGCCATACAGTATGACAAAGCATGAATCTTTGTTAATGTAACATTTCAGTGCAACAGTTAAAGTATGTTATCAAGCAATCTTTGTCAATGTAACATTTCAGTGCAACAGTTAAAGCATGTTATCAAGCAATGTCTTTCAATGTAACATTTCAATGCAATATTTAAAGGCATGTTATCAAGCAATCTTTGTCAGTGTAACATTTCAGTGCAACAGTTAAAACGTGTTATATTAAGCAATTTTGGTCACTGTAACATTCTAATGCAACATTTCAATGCATGTCATCAAGCAATCCTTTGTCGAAGCAAGACTTCAATGCCATATCTAAAATATGTTATCAAGCAATATCTTTCAATGTAACATTTCAATGCAATATTTAAATCATGTTATCAAGCAATCTTTGTCAGTGTAACATTTCAGCGCAACTTTTAAAACTTGTTATCAAAGGGGGGGGGGGGGGGGGGGAGGGGCTGGTTGTCAATGTAGCATTTCATTGCAATGCTCCAAATAATCTTTATTCAAGTGTTTTGGCCTTTACGTTTTTGTGTTCAAAGTGCATCTTTAACTGTCGTGAATCATGAGTCATGCTTTCGCTAATTTTGTAAAAAAAAAGAGAACATGAGTGTTTTCCCTAAAATTCTTTATAGTTTTAGCTTACCAGTGGTGCCTAGCGCAGTAAAAAGCAGAATAGCGCCATTCTTTTTTCAAATGGAAAGTTTGATTGAATTTTATGGAATTTAAAAATACTTATTAAGTTCAATGTTAATGCAAATCAGTGGACAAGTTAAAAGTAATTTTCATGGTTCAGACACAATTTGTCAATAGGAACAGATAAGTTGATACATCAAACGATGTATATTGGGGAAATCGTCCTAAAAACATATGGAAGTGCAACATTCAATGCAAGCTTTGACTGTAATATTTCTAACATTATTATACATAAATTTCCATCTTTGAGTGTAGCAGTTACATTTGGTTTATGTCCCACAATTTATGAATGAATATTTAACCAGTGTTTTACCAATTTAACCTATTTGTTCAACTTATTATGTCTGTGTAACATGAACATTTTAGATTGGTGATTATAAATGCACGCCAACTCTACCATTGTGTAATGTAGCTCAACCTGTTTCACCTTTCCACACAGTACATTACTTGTGCCACCTTCTTTGTTAAACAGTATGCATCTTTACAATGCAAGTATTTATAATACAATGAAGATACTCAAGATGCCAAGATTTGTTACACTCTTTCCAAATAAACATTATCCACATTACATCAAGTTAGTTTGTTCTCTTTGCGATGTGCATAGTAATGTAATATTGTACAGTTAACGCTGATTTAACGTTTAGAAGTCTGGCGACGGGCAATAGCATTATTCTATGTTCAGTACCGGTACAATGTTACTAAACCTGCATTCGTCAACACTCGCCCCTTTCCGTAACCTGCAAGAGGACTCATCCCCCTATCGATGAATGTTATGTGCGAAAATACGACAAACCAATCAGAATGCGCGTATGATTTCAAGTTCTTCGTCAAAGAATACCTCAGAAATAATTTTTGATTTTACATAAGTCTTGCATCTAAAAATATACCAAAGACACAGTTAAATGTGTTCAATCATGCTGTATAATTCCGCACGTCCCGATGTGCCTTAAATTGCATCTGAAATATACATGATATGTGTGAACCATTACGCAACGAATTGACAATTGTTTGAGGTATGCCCGTTTGCGCTAAGACGGAACCCGGTCGCAAAAATGGCCACGAGAGGGGCACGAGTCGCTATTCGGCTTGTCCCGGAATAACACGAGTTGGTCACGAATGACTAAACCTGGTGACGATGTGTCTTGAGCTGTTTCCGGCATCCCAAAGCCGCAGACGCAGCCATGGTCACATGAAGGACAAAGCCCAAATGGTACCATTCATTTTGAAGATTTGTTGCCTCTTCTTCAGGAACCAAGAGGTGCACAAAGTAAGAACAAGACTATACTCTGTAGCGTTAAAAGAAATCAAACGGCTCTAGCATCTTTTTGCTGATGGATGAGTTTACAAAGGATGAATAGATTATCCCTCAGTATCGACTGGAATGTATAGTTCTGATATTGCTTTAACATGTTTGGCAAAACCAGAAACAGACTCCAATAAATCTGACAGAGACCTCATATACCTGAATATGAAATTTGCAAACAAGGGAATAGATGCTTTAAACCAAAGTAACATGTTCAGACAAAAATCAGTTTCCCTAAATATCCCCAAATTCAGGAACCACCAACAATTTCATTTTCCTATACGGATGCCATTTTACCCAGCCCGTTCAATTACAGGAACGTGTTGCAGAACGTGGACTTAGCAGGTCATATAGTCACAGGTGACTTCGCTATTGTTGACAATAACAACCTTCGTCTGTTATACAAATATGGACCAAAATATCGTGAGCAGCCTCCTAACAATTGGTAGCTAGAAGTGTGGATGCTGTCGAATCATATGCTAAAAAGAGACGAGGAACCTGCTGAATGTCTTTCAGAGTTGGTTAAGTCAGTGCGTGATGTTGTCGTTGGCAGAATGCACACTCTGAAAGAGGAATGGCATAGGAATAAACGCATTCTGTCCCAAGCAGCTGTAATCAATAGTAGCTGCCGTACATGAAAAGTATATCAAATAATGCCACTCATAAGGCTAGAGTGGGTGATTATGGTTTAACGCCGCTTTTAGCAATATTCCAACAATATCACGGCGGGGGACACCAGAAATGGGCTTGACACATTGTACTCATGTCAGGAATCAAATCGGGTCTTCGGCGTGACGAGCGAACGCTTTAACCACTAGGCTACCCGACCGCCCCCATAAGGCCAGAATGTTAACCGAGGAAGATATCTGCCAAAATCATGCACAATAATCCGTAATAAGAGAGAACTATTGCTTGATCATGTACCATCAAATCTCTGTCTCGAAGGTTAACCATAACCCTTCATACAAACAAGGAAGGACTTTCTTTATAACTATTTGAGACAAGTGGATCAAAATACTCAAAGGATTTGCTTGTTTTTTCACAATCCCAGAAAGGAACCAAGATCATTCGATTTTCAACTTTGTAGACGCCTACCCCAAATCTAAAGCTTAAGGAGAATTCTTCAATCCCTGATCCGTGTGGTATAATGGTTGTATATCTACTTTCGGGGATTTAGGATAGTTTGTCAAAAATGCAAGCAAATGCCATCTGAAGTTTATTGAGGAAACACTATGTGAAATGCTGGACTTCCTCGTTGATGCACACCCAGGAGCACCGATTGTGCTCCCTTTCTTGCTCTTCTGTTTCTTTATCCACGAATTTCTGCTCGGGTTTGCAAAATAAGGGCAATACAAGGAAGTTTGACCAAGAAATTTAACTTAAGCTTCAGGTGTGTCGCATGATTCAATAACATTCAAATAGCCAATTTCCTTCTTCTGATTTACCCACCTGAACTAGAAGTAAAGGTGACCCGTTTGTCACAATCAGACTTATGCATAAAGATTCAGAGTCGCAAAACTCTCTCCACACGACTGTATGAAAAGAGGGATGACGTCAACTCTCCCTTTTTGTCAAGCAAATTCGAAGCAGTTTCAGTCTTTGGTGTAACATTTTTACATGTGTTACATGTTTTAGATACAATGGAGCACTCCCTTTCTACGACGATTTTATAGAGCGTCATACAACTCTTGCGCAGAATTTGCTGGATAAAGGTTGCAACATTTAAGGACTCAATGAAGCTTCCGAAATGTTTTATGGCAGACATGTGGATTTCAAAATGTGACGCATCAGTAACAAGAACAATGTCCAACGCAATTCCCAATTTTGACTTGTACCACATGTTCCCGTGTTTTATCAGGTGAACAATTGACTTTCCTTTGCATGTGGATGCCACCGGTGGTGGAGGATACGCTCACCTTTTCACGAACACCTGGATCGAACCCCTTCCGCTGTCCGGGCGGATGCTCTACCACTAGATCACTGAGGCGGCCGTTTTCATTTAGATCCCCAATAATCGTCATTATTGGAATTGCGTCTGTTAACACTGTTACAATGTTACTTAATGTGTCAACGGTGTGTGGGGGGATTTCTACTGTCAAGGCTGGTACAAGGTTACTTTTACATACGTAATCACTATGACAAACATGCTGAAAGTGTTGTCAGAGGGATTGATTATAACAGTGTTAATCCAATGTGATAAATGTATTGTTGATATTTCTATTTTTACATCTTCCCGAGGCAAGAGAGTAAACTGACTTTAAAAGTCCAGTTTCCACCCTTGCCGAACAAGGCTGCAATCAGTGGCTATTACGAGTTATGTCCCTTCTATACCTCTCCTATGGACCGACCAATCAGATTCCACCTCTCGTATCACTTGCATTTGCTTCAAACAAAATGACGGCGCACAGTCAGGACGATCTGATTGATAATCAAGATCTACATTGTGATAAAACAGGTCTTACATCGCGAAGTGCATCAAATCACGTGAGCACCTTTTATTAAAAGCATGAAAAGATTAGGAATATATCTGTTGACAACGAGTTGGCAGTGCACATGTTTTGCAAATCCTGCAATCGACGGAAATCTGCATGACAATTCACAAACCGGATTTCGATTTCGTTGCGCGATTTTGATTGGACTATGCATAGACTCGTTAGTCAGGCCAAACTGTAACTCCATAATACCAGCCTAGTTCGGCAAGGGTGGAAACTGGACTTTTATAGTCAGTTAACTCTCTTGCCCCAGGAAGATGTATTTTTACGTCGGACTGTTTAACCCTGCAGGCCTACCAAATAATCAAATTAATAAGAAAGGCTGATATGATTGCAAATATATTCTAACTTTTTATTATTTTGTGGGACGTTGTGGGTAAGTCACCACGTTCAGGAGATAGTGTCGTCTGCGTGATTGTCACCACTGGCTGAGTATGTAATCAAAGTGTAACTGCGACTGGTTATCGTAATGATATGTCGGTTATCTGTGTCTGTATTAGAGCGGACGGCGATCGTTACCCCCAATTGACAGTGTCTAAGCAGGGAGTCTATATAGAGTCTAGCATTGTATAGTCTCAATGGTTTAAGTGAAACAATGTTAGCTTGAGTGAGTGAGTGAGTTCGGTTTAACGTCGCTTTGTGCAGTATTCCACTTAGATCACGGTGTGTCAGCCCTTACTGATGCAGGTCTCAGACGTTTTCAACTTAGTGAAATCTACGGCAGCAAGTTCGGGACAGGGCATTTTCAGACTTTTAGTCAATACATATACAACGTTGTGTTTAAGTATGGCGAATTTATAAATTAGTGATCACCCAGTAAGTGAAATATTTCAGACTTGTTTGAATTTTTTTACTCCTTAATATATATATATATATATATTCATTAAGTTTTAGTGACCCCTTATCCGTAGGACGTCAGTGTTGTACTTTTGTTTAAAATCAACGGTAATGTCTTCGTGAGCTATCAATAGAGAATCATAAATATGTCAGCAAAATTAACCATTTATCGACGAGAGTTCATATCTTTAATAACAAATGACATGATGCTGAGATTCTATTTATCGTCCAAAATCACTCTTCCCAAACCTTTTTTTCAGTTTGTAATCAGTAATAACCAGTTTCTTGAGTGTAAAAACTACAGCCAAGAAACTTAGGTGGAAAAGAGATCAGTGATGTCATTTGATTATGACGTCATGGTATGATTTCATAGTAGCATATCTCCAGGAGATATAATACAGCGTTGGAAATTGACACTAGTCCAGCAGTCCTTGCCAAACTGCCCAATAGTTAAGGTATCATGAGGACTAGTAGAGATTTGACATTTCTAAGGGTGTTGCTATATATTATCATTATAAGAACAAGTGGACTAGAAATGGTAGTTTCTACCGCTGGATATACATGTAGCTTGGACCCACCCAAGCAACATGCCCGATGTCTGCCTGTTTTGGATGATAGATATATTTATTATGCCATAGTTGCCTTAGAACAGACGTTTTTGTTTTGTTTCTAAATTTCCATTGTTCCCCATTTGTGAATGTAGTCAAGGTCGATGAACGGTTGCCATGATGTAATTCCTGCCGGATTAGAAACAAGTATCCCTAACTAGCATCATAGAATTCAGATGGCCACGGGTGCCCAAGTTGCTGATCATCCGATTATGATCCTTGGTTGGTGAGCTCCATACCCGTACCCGTAGGTTTCGTTATTAAATTTTACTATCTACGATCTGCGCCTACGATCTGCGTCTACGATCTGCGCCTACGATCTGGGCCTACGATCTGCGTCTGTTTAGGGTTACCTCGGCCATAAAACTAACAGGCAGTTTTATTACTGAAATAAATGTTAGAGCACCTTTAAGCCTTGACTGGAAGTAGCCCGTGTTGACATTAAATTCAAAAACATAGAAAAAATTCGACTTAATTATTTCTCTTCCCTCGTGTGTTCCGAATGCATTAAACCCTCTGGAAAGTATTTTTGTTTTAACCATGTGTTAAGTTGTATTTTGTTTGTTTGTTTGTTTAAGGAAATTTAAGACATTATTTACATGTTATACTCATAAAAGTGAACGCGCTCACTCACTCACACATCAGAGTATGTCAGGTAGATATTCACATGGTTTGCATGCATGTGGAGGGAACATGAGGGTGTGAAAGTACACTTGTACTCAACGTCACCAAGGTAGATACGGCACGCGTGGGGCAGAGGTGAAGACATCAACGTCAACTGCAGCTGCCAATGAACGTCTGGATGCAAAGTGCAGACGGGACAGAGATAGAAGAATTAGGGACCATGGTACATTGCTGACTGGGGTAGACACAGCATAGACCAGAAGTAGTTCTGTAGAGAACACCGAGAACATAGCAGCACAACGTCGGAACAGAAAGGGATACTTTACAGATAAGGTAGTGTTTGTTTGTTTGTTGTTTAACGCCGCACTCAGCAATTTTCCAGCTATATGACGGCGGTCTTTAAATAATCGAGTTTAGACCAGACAATCCAGTAATTGACATCATGAGCATCGATCCACGCAACTGGGATCAATGACATTCATGAACCAAGTCAGCGAGCCTGACAACCCGATCCCGTTAGTCGCCTCTTACGACAAGAAGAGTCGCTTTTTACGGCAAGCGTTGGTTGCTGAAGACCTATTCTTCCCCGGATCTTCACGGATAAGGTAGTGAGCGAGGGGGGTATTTTAGTTATTTGAAGGCGTTTCAGCTTTCTGTTGGAGGAAAATGTCTGCTTTAGGAAACATAGTGGACCAATGCATCACGAGACACATTCCAGAATCGACCAATTGGTGCGCCTTGGTCTGTTGCGATACGTTTAACCATAGAATGCAAGTTCATTCCTCCACAATACGCTGAAACACAGTAACTGAATACTGTAAAAAATATTAAACATCAACGCCAGAGAATAACTAGATTATCCGCTGAAACAGATAATACTTAGAAAATTATATGAATGGATCACTGAAAATCAGTGATGACACCAGGCAGGTGTTCGCGAAAAGTGTAAGCATGTATTTGTCTTCATACTTAAAAAAATTAGTTGCAAACTGATGTATTTTATTGTTAGCATCATTCGTTGCATTGAAAGATATAAAATGTATTTCATTTAATAACTAAAAAGAATAATTAATATATTTATTTTCGAATTGTTTTGTGTCATCAATATTAATTTAGAGTCACAAAATTACAGGGCCTACCTTTAGAATACAGTACCACAAACTTTTCAAACACGTGACAATACCCTGTGACGTAATATGTAGTAACAATGCCCTGTGACGTCAGGGGTCATAGAGTGTGCAGAAGCTCCTCCCATTGATCTATAATCTCTACGCGCAATGTCATTGTATACGCCCAGCGATGTTGAGAGTTTTGAATATTTGTTTACTAAATATAGCCTTCGGTGTCGCATTTTATAGCAAGCGCTAGTTTACGAAAGCATTTTTATTTTCAATATATTTTTTATTTCGTTTTTTATTCGTAATTCAAGTGGCTAAAATGATGGTAACTGGGAACTAATATACATATATTATTCTTTTGATTCATTAATTTTATATTATTATGCACAGGAATGCAGTTTATTAGGTAAAATTATATTGGCGCTGAACACATCCAAATGTCGCCGGTGTTAGGGGTCGCGAGTTCGCGTCCGACGCGTCCGACCCTTCAGACGTATTCTCACAAAAACTGAGGTACTTGTCTGTGAGACACGTGACCTACGCCAGAGACCGTCCTCGCAAAAGGTTGTTGTACTGTGTTCTAAGATGCTCCAATAACCGTTTATCTTCCATGATCCTCTAATCAATTTCATGTTATCATATCATGGTAGGGAAGGTGCTCAATGCAAACAAAGATATGCGACACAATGGTGCACATTCTCTCAAACATTTACAGGTATTTTTGCTGTTATAATAATCTTACAACAAAGGTTGCCAAACTATAGGCATTATTGGCAGTTTTTGCGAAAGCGTTTGACTGTTTTCATACAGATAAACACACGGCAAATAAATGCATGGACCAAAGTCCATGTAAAGGTTTGTGTGCGTAATAACACTACTGTATCGGATACTTTTGCTTGTAATATTGGTATTCGTCAAGGATGTAGTTTAAGTCCGTTTCTCTTCCCTGTCTTCATAAATTAATCAGTCGAGCAAATGAAGGCAAATTATAAAGATGGTATACAAATACCTCCTGGAACGGTCAAGTTATTTCTCCGTTTGTTACCGATGATATACATGTGAGTAAGTGAGTTGGGTGTCAGCTTAATGTGGGAGGAAGGCCCAAAGTGATGCAGGGCTCAGACGTTTACGATTTCGGTGAAACCCAGGAGCACGGGTATGGTGCTGACAAACCTAGAAACATAATCGGGGCGAATCGGGATTCGAACCCACAATCATAGGTTTCTGGCATGCCCAAGGGACGCAGTTCTGCACAGCGAAGATATACGTATATTGGTAACACGATACATGGATTACAAAGACACATATTTAAACTTGAATCCTATGGCTTTCAAGAATCAGTTGAGAAGCTTGTAGGTGAAATTCAAACACTAGGTTAGATTGCCTATAGCTTTTTACCTACCATATAAGTTGGGATTACATAATGCCTGAAAAGGTTCAGTTCTCTCTCCTGGACCAAACCGTATGGTCAAACATTTTATGTAGTAGGTGGTGAACAAAACAGTTTTTTTCACCTGACTTTGCTCCCTTACAAATTGTCACCAAAGTCTAAATTAATAATCTTCGTTTTCATCGTTGGAATCAAATGTATATACAGATTGTTTAAGCTTGTTCTCTTGCTATTTATTTGAACTGTTACTTTCAACAGAAGATCTAAACTATTAGAATGATTTGTTTGTAATATTCATCTTTCTTATTCCTATACGTACCATTGTATTCGTTTCTTGCAACGTTATGTATATTAAATAATTCATTGTCCATATGCTTTACTACCGTATTCAAACATATACAAAATTCTTCCTCAGGAAACATTATGCAAACATTGTTTCACCGAGAAAGGATATCAATCAATGTCGCAACTGTTAGATTCTATTTGATTGTAGAGTTCGTGTCTTCATCTCCACTGACCTCTCCACGATGACCTCATCGATGACCTCCAAATACCCGGTGGTTGTGACGGGTGGATCTGGCTGTTTGGGGCAACACCTGATCAAACTTCTCCAAACGAACGCTGATCACGTGACTGAGATCCGGGTACTCGACGCCATTCCGTACGAGAACAAACTTGGTGAGTTATGGAGGGTAAAATAAGAAAGCAAATCCATCAAGGAACATATGGCAACATACTGACCACTTATGTCGAGCATATTTTTTTTTTGCAAGGAGTAGATAAATATTGAAATTGCGAAAAAAGCATCACAACTGTTTTATTTCCAGTGAAGGTCTACATTTTGCAGATTGGTAGACGTCATGTCATTTGGGTCAGAAGACAACAAAATCTATTCATATAATTGTCACTGCTAGTTTGACTTTTACACGCAATGGAATTTGTTTTGGTGGCAACAGGTTATGATCTGAACTGTTGAAGTTATTCTAGATATCATCATTGTCATACTACTACTACTACTACTACTACTACTACTACTACTACTACTACTATCAATACTACCGTTGTTGGTTATACCATGCACAGGTCATAAAGAGACAAAGCCTGTGATTTCAACGTGCGGTGACATCACTAACACAGACCTACTTCGCCGGATATTCAGGGGAGCTAAGTCAGTCTTCCATCTGGCCAGTCTCGTCAGCCTAGGCAGTTTCCCCGACAACCAGGGTATGGAAAGAATAAACGTGAAAGGTGAGACAACGACATGTCTCGCACACAGATACACATATTACACATATTACAGTGTGTGACATATATGTGGCCAATGAGAGAATAATATAAACGTCAAACGTGAGACAGCAGACGCCGGACAAACATGACACATGTACATCAAGACACTGGCACAAGGGGCAGCCTAGAGGTTAAAGCGTTTGCTTGTCACGCCGAAGACCCGGGTTCGATTCCCGACATGGGTACAATGTGTGAAGCCCATTTCTGGTGTCCCACGCCGTGATAGGCCTGGAATATTGCTAAAAGCGGCGTAAAACCATACTCACTCACTCACGGACACAAACAAAGGTAAAGACAAACCACTACAACATTACCCATGTTACAGTGTTTGAAATATATATGTTGGACAGCAACAATGTGCAACCACACGAATCTGAAGTCCTACCGCCTTATATGTCTTTATTGCACGACGTTTTTCCAAAAATCTTCTTGTCTTGTCAAAAAATCCATGACGTGGTGACGTAAACATGTCCGTGTAAATAAAATTTACTTTATATAATCACTGCCATAACTTGCAAAGTGTGACATATATATGTTGCGCAGGAACAATGTGTGACATTTCTATGTTCTACAGGAACAATGTATGACATTTCTACGTTTTACAGAAACAATGTGTGACATATCAGGAACAATGTATGACATATCTTTGTTGTACAGGAACAATTTATGACATATCTTTGTTGCACAGGAACAATGTATGACATACCTTTGTTGTACAGGAACAATGTGTGACATATCTTTGTTGTACAGGAACAACGTATGACATATCTTTGTTGTACAGGAACAATGTATGACATATTTGTGTTGTACAGGAACAATGTGTGACATATCTTTGTTGTACAGGAACGACGTTTGACACTTCTATGTTGTACAGGAACTCGACAGGTGATAGACGCCTGCATCAAGGAGGGGGTGGAATGCCTCATCTACTGCAGCACCATTGAGGTTGTGCTGGGGTTCGACGACATTATTGACGGCACCGAGGACAACATGAAGGCCCCCAAGACGTATGTCCACGAGGGTTATGCCAAGACCAAGCTCCAGGCAGAGAGTATGGTACTGCAGGAAAACAACTGCCAGTTGGATACAGGTACAGTGTCCCACGCCTTGCATTACCTGCTATACGGAACGAATGTAACCCTAGTTTTGTTATAATAACGACGCCATTTAGGATAAGTCCTTTTGAGCACAAATACAAAATGATTATTCTATCATCCCTGCCTAAATTTAGAGGCCTTTCTTCGAAAACATATTTTCTCTGACCCCATCACGGAAATGTTTTAGCCTGATGTTTTCATTGGGAAGATATTGTCTCATTTACTGCACTGATGAGTTTCTGTGGGTTGCTGTCCGTCCCTGTCTACGTAGGTGGCGTACTCAAGACGGCCGCCCTACGACCCTACGTCTTCTACGGCGAACTGGACCGCCACTACATCACGCAGCTCATGAAGGTGGTGAAGAGGACTGCGGGCATCCTCATCCAGACAGGTAACGACAAGGCACTCCATCAGCACGCCTACGTCGGTAACATCGCCTGGGCCTTCATCTGCGCCGAGAAGATTGTCCGTACCAACCCTGCTGCTGCTGGTGAGGCTTACTTCATCACGGACGACACCCCAGTTAGCAACATATACAGCCAGGTGATCCCCTTTCTGGCGGAGAAGGGTATACGACCATCCCCCATCAGGTTCCCTTTCTGGATGATGTTCGTGCTATTTTACTTGGCGGAGTGCCTTCTTTTTCTCCTATCTCCCTTAATCAAAATCGACATCGGCGTCACCTCCAGCGCCCTACGCTTCGCCAACACCACCATCAAACTGAGCAACGTCAAAGCGCGCACCTTGCTCAACTACACTCCCCTTTTCTCTGTGGAGGAGAGTTTACTGAAATCACGTGCTTATTACAGAGATGTTCCAATATAGACACGCCAGTCTTGGCCTGAAACCAGCCGGACTTGAGATCTATTATTCTATATATATGTAATCTTTGGAGCGCGCCATTAACACTTTGTCAGTGCAACCTTTTTACATATTTACTTATTGAGAATTTTTGTGTTTATCCTAAATGCAGTTTTCTATGTATACTATACAAGAAAATTGATGCTGTCCAAGTTTTAATAATGTTACAATGCATCGGTTATTATTGTAACGGTTTACTTTATTTCATCAATGCAGTATCAATGTTTATGTAAATGAAGGTTTCACATGTATAGGTTTATGCTAATATGTAGCGCATGTCACCAATGCAACTTCGTCTGTGTTTAATCTTTATACAGCTATGCATGCAGATCCCTGGCGTCTTTCTCTATCTTACATTTCATGCAACATTTCAACTCATGTCAATATTTGTGCAGCCATGCATGCAGGACCCCAACGATACATTTCGCAAATAATGTTATTAATACAACAAATCCAAATACATTTCGCAAATAATGTTATTAATACAACAAATGCAAATACATTGTGCAAATGATATTATTAATACAACAAATCCCAATACATTTCGCAAATAATGTTATTAATACAACAAATCCAAATACATTTCGCAAATAATGTTATTAATATTCTAAATCAAAATACATTTCGCAAATAATGTTATTAATACAACAAATCCAAATACATTTCGCAAATTATGTTATTAATACAACAAATCAAAATACATTTTGCAAATAATGTTATTAATACAACAAATGCAAATACATTGCGCAAATGATATTATTAATACAACAAATCCAAATACATTTCGCAAATAATGTTGTTAATATTCCAAATCAAAATACATTTCGCAAATCATGTTATTAATAAAACAAATCCAAATCCATTTCGCAAATAATGTTATTAATATAACAAATCAAAATACATTTCGCAAATAATGTTATTAATACAACAAATGCAAATACATTGCGCAAATGATATTATTAATACAACAAATCCCGATACATTGCGCAAATAATATTATTAATACAACAAATCAAAATACATTTCGCAAATAATGTTATTAATACAACAAATCCAAATACATTTCGTTGATAATGTTGCAATGCAACATATTGAAGCGTGATACTAAAGTGTCTTTGTCAACATAACATTTCAATGCAACATGCAGATGCATGTCATTAAGCAATCCTTTGGCAATGTAAACTTTTAATGCAATATTTTATTGAAACAAAAGCAATAAATCATTTCCATATTCATAAGAATTATATTCCATAAACAGAGTCGAATGTACGATTCCTACTATATCATGAGCATGTGTTTATTAATCACTATTAAATAGTGACGATACCTGGTTTTCGCGAAAAGGTAGCATATCCTGCCCCAGCGGTGGCACCCGTCACAAACACATGGAAGGGCAAGTCAAGAAAACAACAACACAAGAGAACATACGTTTGTTTGTTTGTTGTCTAACGCCACTCTCAGCAACGCCCCAGCTATATGACGGCGGTCTGTAAATAATCGAGTCTGGACCAGACAGTCCAGTAATTGGAATCATGAGCATCGATCCACGCAATTGGGATACGATGTCATGTATCAAACTAGTCAGCGAGCCTGACCACCCGATCCCGTTAGTCGCCCCTTACGACAAGCATAGTCGCCATTTACATCAAGTATGGGTTGCTGAAGACCTATTCTAACCCGGATCTTCACGGGTCCGAGAACATAAAGCTACAAGCCAAAAAGGTAATTGAATCGGACATCATTCTTGGAACTGGTGCGTCAATTATGGAAATATCCCCTACATGTATACCATAAAACCTTTTGAAAGTTTTATTGAGGCCTTGAATGTCGCAGCCTTGATCAAACAACTACTGGGAAGAGGGGTCTGAAGCTCTTTAAAATTGTGGTAGAAAGAGCATCTCGTTTGTACCTCACAAGGCTGGAGCTGCAGGAATATTGCTCGACATGAAGGGAAAGTTGACTGTTGGAAAGTTGAAGTCATCCCTCTTTTCATACAGCCTGATGGAGAGTATTTTATCACTCTTAATCTTTATGCATATATATAAATATGACACAGATGAGGGGGTCTCACTGGCCTCCTTTATTTCTAGTTCAGGTGGGTGAATCAATGGAAGGGAATTGGTTATTGGACGATATCAGATCATCGATATACCTGAAGCCTAAGTTAAACTTCTTGGCCAAATTATTTTGTTTTGACCAATCCGAGCAGATTCTGATTCATATACACAAAGAAACAGATCAGCAAGAATGGGAGCAATTGGTGCCCATGGGGAATGCTACTTCCTGCCTAAATCTCTTACCCCTAAATGTTACAAAAAATATTATTGAGGAGGTCTAGCATTCAAATATTGTTTCCTCAGCAAACTTGTCACTACGGCAATAGAGGGCACACACACCCTTCTTTTTTCAATTGGAAAGTTTTTTTCAATTCTATTTACTCAACTTGTTATGTAACATTTAGTACATGTTAGGTTGCAAAACGTTTATGTAAATTGTACAGGGGCGTCAACGCCACCATGGAGCTCTGTGAGCACACTGTGTAATGAAACTCAATCTGAAGAACCTCGTAGTTTCTGTTCCACCTTACCATACAGTTTATTACTTATTCCAACTACGTTTTGTAACAGAATGCATCTTTACAATGCAAACATTTATAAATATTCATAAAAAATAAAGTATCAACACCAGAGAATAATCTGTTGCGATTGTTTGCTGAAACAGATTACATTAGGAGAATAGGGGCAAAATAGTGGTCAACATTATATAAATGGAACACTAAAATCAGTGAAGATACCTGGTGTTCGCGAAAACTGTAAGAATGTCTGAAACTCATACCAAAATTTGAAACAAAAGAATAACAGAATAACGTAATTTTGCTTTTTTTCGCGACAATATGTATTGCGATGATGTACACTCAGTTAACGCTGATTTAACGTGTCGATGTCTGGTGGCGATGTGTATAGTAATGGTCAACGCTCAACACTTAACGCAAAGGTACTTACTCTGGCAACATGTTGTAATACTCAATCTGACGACGGGTTGTATAGGGATGTCTACGGACAACAATGAAACCGTGAACATCCCTATACACCCGGTTGACACACTAAGTGGCATTGCATCAGTGTTGAACGATGAAATCAAAATTATACCACGTCGTTTGACAAAGTAACAGTGTTTAAACCGTCCTTGATGAGTTAGTGCTTGTTTGGGATCTAATTGAAATCTTTTGTCTGAAAGAAGACTAAGCATCTTTGATTTAATGGAAAGGAAATATTTATGAAATATTATAGAGGAAACAGCTATAGTAGCTTAAACGACAAGTTCGCTGTTAAGCCCTGTTATTGTAAGTGATGAAATCTCTGTTATCGACAGTGGAGTTGCTGAGTTTGATAAGATGAGCTCGAGCGACCACAAAGGTACACATGTATATCATTAGATGTAAAAAGGTGTTCTAAAAATTCTTTTACCCGTGAATTGTGAAGATATAAAATGGGCGACTACGATAAATTGAACAACCCTACAGGAAATACAAAATGGTTACATATATTTAATACTAAGGTGTAAATGTTGATGAAGCATGTGACAGATTTTATGAAGTTTTCATAGAGTTTGTAAAACCATTTGCTCCATCGAATACAAAAACAGTCTACTTGATAAATCTGGGTATGATCCAGACCGAAGACGCGAAGGCAGAAAATGGAACAAAATTCAGAAAAAGCCTATAAGGATATGAAAGAGATATTCGACCGTATAAGAAACAAAAAAATAACATTAATAACACACGAAAGAACATATTTACGCAAACTCCCATTTCAGCTCCCAGACAGAACCCAAATGACGGTGAACTGTCGATTTTTCCGGATATAGTTTGTTTGTTTATTGTTTAACGCCGCACTCAGCAATATTCCAGCTATATTACGACGGTCTGTAATTAATCGAGTCTGGACCAGACAATCCAGTGATTAATACCATGAGCATCGATCCACGCAATTGGGATTAATCACATATATCAACCAAGTCAGCGAGCCTGACCACCCGATCCCGTTAGTCGCCTTACACAACAAGCATATTTTGATACAGCAGAGGTAATGAATGGTTATTTTCTTTCTATTTTATGTATGACTGACGAAAATATGCCGTTACCTAATTTTAAGGTACACATTCTACTTCAGCAAATAAAGTAGTTACAAAGAATGAAATAGTGGATATCATTCAGTATTTGTCCCAAAATAAAACTACAGGCCCTGACAGGATAAGCCGTAACTTAAAAAAAAACCCCAGAACATACAATTAGTAAAGTGTTAAGTTAATTGTTTAATTTGTCATGGCTGTCATCGCAAAAAAGGTTTTTATCCAACTGAATGGAAAATAGCTTATGCTATGCCGTTTCGTTGAAACCGATAAAACTGAAGTGTCATATTATAAACCCATATATCTTTGTTAGTTGCATTGGTAAGCCGTTTGAAATGGTTGTATTTAAAAAAAACCGTGTCAAACAATTTTAATCAGTACCGTACTGTACAGATATAATGCAGCCTTTCAAGCTGGTCATTCCACTGTCCATCAATTAACTTAGATATACAGTAAACTACGTTTATAACGAACACTCTTATAACGAACTGACCCATATGACGAACTTATTATTTAGTCCCGACCATTTGCTGTGTATATGCTGTAAGTATGCTAATAACTAACTACGGTTATTACAAACTCAAATTAGCGGTCCCATCGAGTTCGTTATAACCGTAGTTTACTGTACCATCAACTATTCAAAGTTCTAGATGGTGAATAACAGTATTGTATGGTCTTATGTGATGTATCGAAGGCCTTTGACAGAGTTTGGCTTTGAGGGATTATGCACAAATGAGAAATGTATGATATTAAAGGAGGATTGTTCGAGTGGACATGTAATTATATAAGTAATCGTTATCAAAGGGTCTTTGTGAATGGAACTCTGGGCTGCGACCTTTGTGCCACCTTTGAGAGATCAAAAACTGGCCAGGACGCTCAATGGTCGCCTGAACCCAGGAAATCATGTATCTATGTAACTGCTCCAGCAGTTGTTCAGCAGTAACTGCTCGAGTTGTTCAGCGTCTGCAACCACAGTGAAACACTGCAGGTACAAACCCCCTATTTATAGGCAGACTGTGGAGGCATTACAGGTAGCTCAAAGGAGGCAGAAGCATTGCCATGGTGTCTCAAGGGTTGCCGTGGTCGCCGAATGGAGGCACAGCAGTCGCCACAGTCATCGTTCAATGCACCATGTTGGTCGCCCAAAGGAGGCACAAGGGAGGCAGAAGCATCGACCAGATTGACAGGAAAAAATTGCAACAGAACGCATCCTTCACCTGGCGACCATTCGACGACCACTGTGCCTTCATTCTGCAACTCCGACAATGCTTGTGCCTCCATTCTGCCTCCTTTGAGGCACCTTTGAGCAACCAGCCTCCTCGGCGACCTTTGTGCGACTGTTTTGAACATGTTGAAAAATTCACGGCGACCATGGCGTCCATCGCGATGTCTGAACCTCCCGTGTACCACCTTGGAACGACCTAGGCAACCATTCTGCCTCCTTTGAGCCTCCAACGACGACCTGGCAAATGTTATGGTCGCACACGGGAGGCACAAAGGTCGCCATCCTGTGTAAAGGCCCCATTAATCACGAGAACTGGAGGCTGGTCCAAAAGGTCGGCCGTGGGACCATTTTACTCATTGTTTGTGTAAACCATATTGCCGATATATTTTAATGAATACATAACAAGACTCCTTGCTGATGATACAGCTATGGGCCAAGCTTCCAAAATCTCACTTCATTAGAAACGTCAATGAATTCAAACTTAACAGCATTAGTGGGTCTAAACAGTGCTTAATATCTTACAATCTAGAAAAAAAAACATAGACTGAGCCTTTCTCTCTAAAGAATGAAATTAAGTATCTATTGAATAGAAACATACTTCTTAAAATAGAATTAAAGTATTAATAAGGCCAAACTTTGAGTATGCATATGAAAGTTTGGATGGACGTGGGCAAGAGTTAAGTATACACCTGGAAAAACTTCAGGTGAAAACAGCATGAATAATTAACTTACTCCTTTATACCAGTTTCTCAAAATTGAAACTGGACTACAAACATTAGCAGAACGTAGATGGCAAAATGAACCTTTCTCTATTTTATAATGGTTACAATGAAGAAGTCCCTTCGCATTTAAAGGAGATTGACCCTCAATGTATAGGGTATGAGATATGAAACTCTGGAAATATTTCTTTGCCAAAAAGAGAATTATCGTCTC